GGTTGCACTGCCAGTAGGGATGCGACATCGGAGATCGATATTCTAGATTATCGATATCGGTCTCATCGATATTTCGATATTTTTATCAATATCGGTATCATCGATATTTTTCCATATCGATATCGAACATACGAATATCGGACATAAAATATCGAACTCACCGGATGAATTTCTAACCATAAGATGTGTTAATTCCGTAACGGCGCGGCGCGGCGCAACTCCCGTGACTGGCGGGGCGGTCTGATACTGTACTCTCAGTGTACACTCGTTGTAATTGATTACATATGTTGTGGCACATTTTGGAATCCGCGACCTTTCTGTGTCCATTCGTATGTTTTCTGGATTATGGTATGTGGTATTTTGGACTTTTGGTGATGATCATCCCAACTTATGATATGATGTATGGTGTGGTTCAATGCTCACGATTGCACGCGAAACAGTTTACAAGTTTACATACTACTCTAATTCTAATTTAGATGATATAAAAGGTATATATAAACGAAATTGCTATATAAATACTATATCCCGGATAATATCGATAATATCGATCCAAAAGATTCGATTTTTGAAATATTGATACTCAAGTTCTTCGATGTGTATCGATACGAAATATCGATATTTTGCTTTCGATGTCGCATCCCTAACTGCCAGTAAAAAGGAAGGTGAAGTACTCCTGTGGATGCGCAGTAGGAAAGTGCATTGCGGAGATATTTGATTGGCTATTCCAGTATAACCTGCGCTATTATACGTAGGAAAGTACATATTCGGACATATTTGATTGGCTATTCCAGTATTGCTATCGCCATTATGCGTAATGTTTCACCTTATATATTTCCACCACAGATAATTTGTGCGATTTGCTGAGACACGCTTTGCTATCTGGTCTGAATCTCTATTGAATTATTTCTATTTCATTAAAATAATTAATAACTTGTAAATAGATTAATAATTACGCAAATTTCTCATGAGAACGAGATTGTCTATATGAAATATAAATGTATATACTCTAACGAATATTTCCCGACGATTATCCGTATCATAAATTTCATCATTTTATCATATCTTATTGCAAGTAAACAGATCGTTAGGAAAGTTACGATGAATCCATGGGTACTACGCCACACCACGCCACAAATCGCTCAGTGAACGCGTTGTTTTCTCTATTTCCAGTTTGTGTTTAACAATAAAAAATGGTGAAAAATTGTTGTGTTAAAGGATGCAGGGCATCGTGGCGACCAGATGTTGATGTATCATTTTTCAGGTAGATTATCTGTATATAAACTTATATAACCTCAAATCTAATTTTCAAACAACTTTTAATTTCGTTTCCTATATTTTTTTAGTTTTCCGTTGAAAAATAAGGATTTGTTAAAGGAGTGGTTGGAAATTGTGCCAATAAGTAGTAAAATTTCAAAATATTCTCAAATATGCAGCGTTCATTTTGACGAATCACAATACGAATGTTTTTCTGGTAGACGGTTCTTAAAAAAGAATGCAGTTCCTAGTATATTTCCAGAGGATATAGCCAAATTCGTAAGTAATTTAAAGTAATTTAATTTTTTTATTTTTACAAGTACATGCAAATATGTAAGTTATTTATTGTTATTTTATAGAAAGAAATAGTTGAAGAAGTGGAAAAATTATATCCAAAATATCAAAATGTCGTGTTGGAAAGTATAAATAACAATAATTTTCATGATCATTCTTATTCGAAAATGCAAGAGACATTTCTTGTGTCGTCAGTATTAAATGAAACGGACAAAGCAATACAGGTCACTCCTCGAACTCAGGTTTGTACATTTTTATTCTAAAAGAAATTTTTTATATTTTATATCTATTTATTTGTGTATGTTTTACATATTATTAGAGTGTAAGTACGCAAACATCGTCAAGAGCAACTGAAAAAGAAAAAGAATTACGATATCGAATTAAGAGCCTTCAATCCAAACTGCGTCGCAAAGAACTGAAGGAACTGAAGAATATGAGGATACCGATTAAATATTCGCCGATTGTTAAAACATATAAAAAAAAGTTGTGAATGCTTATATCAGTTGGATCATTTATGTACTAAAAGTTTTTAATGATTATTTGATTTTTGATTTGCTAGAATAAGAACATTATATAATTTTCTCAATGTTTTATATTGCTGATATTAAAAAAAAATGTATAGATATTAGTCGAGAGCATAGGTTTCTTTTCCTCCTATTAATTTTTATATCAGCATTACTCATAACTTTATGAATAAGCCTAATGTCAGTTATAGTTTAACACTTTGACTATCAAGTTGGTTTTGGTATTGAATTTAATAAGTTTAATATAGGTATATTTTATTTGTTTCAATACTTAATTATTTTTGATGACTACATAATGTATATGTTGTTTCTTTAATGTCTCAATTGTTTAATAAAATTTGTTTCAAAATCAGGTAAATAAAACTCGCCTATAAATAAAGTAATAATATCTGTGAAAATTTACATGTCAACCAAATATATAAATAATATAGCAAAGTGTTAAAAAGAATATATAATTTTAGAAAAATATCTTTTTCTGTGTGTATATATTTTCTGTCCTATAATTATACATTTAAAATATGTAATATAATAATAATAAAAGGATAAGCAATATAAATTTTAAGTATACAATTATTGACTTTTTAATTGATTTATTGTTAAATACCAGTTTTTTTCCTTCAGAAAAGATAAAATCTTTTTTATTACAATAAGAAAAAAAGAAAAAATTATCACTTGAGGTTACTCTGTCAAATCACGAGTTGGAGTAATCTGTAATTCCAGATTATATGTTTTGCATTGTCATACGGATCCACTCGGCATTGTTTGTGAAAATGAACGTAAAAATACGAATAATCAGAATAATTGATACGTTGTCACTTTATGAGAAAACGCTTTGTCTGAACGATTAATGTCCTGACTTATGCTTAATTTAATATTATGTAACGATTGTTTATACCTTATTGATTCATTTTCTAACCTCAATAAGTGTGATGCTCGTTTTACGTGGACTCCAGAATTCAAATTCCCTCGTCGTGTTGGGTGGCCTCGCTTTGTGTCTTTTATTTATGATTCAAATCAAACAAATTTATAATAACAATCAAAAATATAATAGATATTTGAACTATAAACAATATGTGAGATTTCTTTGTATTTATATAAATATTAACAATCAATGTGTAATTAATGTTTTTATTTATTCTGTAATGTATTTGAAGGTAAGACAGTTAATTGTTTATACATTTTTAGATGAACGAAATAGCGACAGAACTGAGGACAGTGGTAAAATCCATCAACAAATCATCGGCTTATGTTCATCAACTAAATGAAATGCTTATCAAGTATCGCGAAAGAGAACCAAAGAATATCTCAACGTCAAGAACAACTTTATCATCTTAAACACTTTAGGAATTGGAATTTCTAAATGCAGAAGGTTGGTAAATAATAATTGAATTGTAAAAGCCTGGTTTTATGTTGTATCATTAACTTTTTTTTTATTTTTCTCTTTCTCATACTTTATAAATGAGTATTACACATTGTTATTTATATATACTATACTGAGTATTAAATTATAGTACTTATTCTTATTATTCATCAGTTGAAACTTCTCTGTTATAACTTATGTTCAATACTTATTATCAGGGTTGGGTAAGTTAATTTTTTCTTTTAACTAAGTTAAGTTAAGGTTAACAACCTTGAAAATTTAACTTAGTTAAGATACAAGTTAATGTATAATGAAATTAATTGAATTAAAAGTTAAGTTAATAAAAAAAAGTAATTGAAAAATTAAAAGTTAAATCTTCAAAAAATTTAAGTAAAAAGTTAAGAGTCTAAAATGTAACTAAATTAAGTTAAAATTATTTAACTTTTCAACTTTTTAACTTAACTTTTAGCTTTTTAACTTGGCACTACCCCCAACCCTGCTTATTATTACTACAAAAATGCATATTTGAATATAAAATTATAAAAAAGAAAACGCTGTATGTGTGTATATAATATATATGTATAATGATTATCAATGAATATCAGGAGAATATCAGGAAGCTTTAATCGTTTAAATTGTTCAGTGGCATACATTGAGAATTACTATTTTGTCCAATATTCTCTAGAACACCATCTGGTGCACACAACCATGGATCCTTTGTTGTCTCTAACCAATTGAACAATCGTTTTTCAAGTTCAACAAATATGTCCTGAAATTTAGAACATATATAAAACATTGAAATGTATTTATCATATTTAGTTAAGAAATGGATTTAATATATAATTATATATATAATACTACCTTTGCAGACGCTTTTGAAGCTATATTATTTAATTCTTCTGGATCATATTTTAAATCATATAATTCCCATTCTGGTCTCTGATAATATTTCTTTAATGTTTTGTACCATGGTAGAGACTGATGGTTCCTTGTTTTATTTAGAATGTCCTGCATTTATAATACAATGATAAATTATTTATAAATATTAATAATTTGTTCTAAAACAATTTCAATTCTAGTTAAAAAAAGATAACATCTTTTGGATATTTTTTTTTCAGATTACCTGGAATGTCGGAGATACGTAAAAGTCCTGATCAATAGGAAATGGCATTCTATAGTTGATATTATGTATAAGTTTGTGACGTTTAGTTCTAATTGCACGCATAGGATAATACATGGTAATTTCATGATGTGTTTGGCTAGCAAAGATTGCCGTATTATTTTCTACGGGTTCTATAAATGAAATATCAATTATTTCACAGTATGATCTCTCTGACAGAAGACAGTATATACATATTGCATTTAATAAACATATATATCATATATACCTTCGAGAAGTAATGGCAAAAGTGATTTTCCAGTAAGCAGAGAAGATACTTCATTGAAATTTTCATCTAAGTAAGTTACATTGAACCAATCTAAAATTGTCGGTACTATGTCTAGTAAAGATGTCATGCTGTAAGTCACGCTGTTTTTCCTATGGCCATGGATTGGTGATGACATCATCATGGGTTCAGCCATACCTTAAAATTTTTTTTTTTTAATATTTGATTGTGTTTTTAAAATACTAATGTTCTGTCTGCTAGTTTTCGTTTTTTCAATACCTTAAATGTAACTAAATATACGAACCTGGATCGTATAGATTTGTACGACCATTCGGGAAAGGTATGCCATTATCGGATGTATAAATTACCAATGTATTGTCTTTGAATCCTGCATTTTCCAATTCTTCAAGAACAAGGCCAACGCCTAAAAAATTATATTCCTTTTAAATACTGCTTTTATATAATATATAAAAATATAACATCTTGTCTTGTAATATATTAGAAACATATATTTGAGCATTTCTCAAGTAATTAGAAAGACCTTTATCTAAACGAGATATGGTTGTATATTGAGCAGAAATATCTCTTCGAGCAGCTTCGGTATTCTGAACATAGTAGGGCACTTTAACTTGCTCCCATTGATAATATATTGGATTCCAATCGGGAATTGTACCCATTCCGACGTCACCATTACCAAATTTTTCACAAAAATTGCCATACTCTGGATGAGTGTGCCCACAGCGATGTGGATCATGAAAGGCAACATATAAAAAGAAGGGTCTGCAAAATTTTTAAATAACTAATAGCGTTTTCGGCCCGATCGGGTTTGCACCAACCTGGGTTGGATTAATCTTTCCTATTGGTTGATATCACACGCTCTACCAATAGGAGAGCGCAAAACGCCATTAATCCAACCCAGGTTGGTGCAAACCCGGTCGGGCCAAAAACGCTATAAGAAAATGCAGAATAATAAATATGATGAAAATTTGTAATATGATTTTTTTGAAATGTACAAAATAATATAGCATGAATTTTATTACACATGATATACAAAAAATCAATATATTACTTTATAAAAATAAAATTATGTACAAGCGCTATATATTGAATATTACTTACTGTGTTTTATTTTGTGAGAGAAATTCGCGGACTAGTAATTTGATATAAGTAATATTGCGGCCTACTTGAAGAATAGAATTATTTTCTTCTGTATGCGCAAAATCAAATGGATAAACACTATTCGGGCCTACATGTTTCTTGCCAATAATTCCTGCACAAAGAAAATATTCAAATTATGATAACACATAATTTATAATATGATATAAATCTATTAATAGTTACCTGTTCGTATATTGTTTCTCTTCAATATTTTTGGCAAACTTTGAATATTATCAAAAGAATTAAAATGATGAATCCCATGATGAAGACCATACATTCCATTTTGGTGACTTGGTAATCCAGTTAATATTGCGGAGCGGCTACAAATACATAATTCAAGATTTATATCTTTATTAATTAGATTCAATTTGGATATAACAACAATACCTTGGTGAACAGCTACTGACTGATGTATATGCATTATTGAATAGTAGACTTTCCTTTGCTAATTTATCCAAATTAGGAGTCTGACATATTTTATTCAGGTATGATCGCATTTGAAACCCAGCATCATCAGCTGTAGATTAATAAATAAACTACTATTTTACATAATAAGAATTCTAGATTATGGATTTAAAATGAATTTAACTGCAAAATTATAAATGTACCTAATTTTTTCTAGCTAAAGGAGTTTATATATTTTTATCTTGTTCATTATATATATATATATCAATTATTTAATAAGAATCGTAAATGTAATACTCGCGGATTACATTTACGAAGCATGCATTAAAAAGGTACTTTATGTAAATTACCCAGTAACAGAAGTACATTAGTTTTAGCTATATCAGTTTTTCCATTTATGTTAGGTAATCGCGATAAGATAATGCTCAAAAAACATAACAATTTATTCAAACGACAGTTCCACAGCATTGTATGTTATGTGAATACACTTGTGTGCGTGAACAGACGCATGCGCGTGTGTGTGTGTGTATGGATGTGTACATGCATGCGTGCACCCGTGCAACACGTGATGGCATGCAAGTACTGCCAATAGTGCCAATATGAGCGATCAAAAATTTTCTATTTCGCGATAAGCAGCATGTGATAAGGAATCGATTATCTATCAAGTATCAAGGCCGCAACACAAATTTTTGCATAACGCATAACGCATAGTGCTGAATTAACTAATCAGAATCTTCCCTTTCCTCCCATTCCATGGAAAAGAAGAATTTCGATTGGTTGATTCCTTTGTGCACTATGCGTTATGCAAGAGTGTGTGCTGCGACCTTCACGTTGCGTGCATTCGTTTATGCAGCGGTTAGCGCAGAAGTATTACTTTATCCTTGTTGTTCACCGAGTGTTGAACAAAGATTAAATGATACTGCGCTAATCGCTGCATAAACGAATGCACGCGTCGTGTCTTGCCGGGCGGCACACGTTTCCGCATTGTATACTAGTGTATGATATATATATTGTATACTAGTGTATGATATATCACATATATGTGTGAATGTACATCGAAGGTACAACCGTTCCATTTCAAATATATATCATCGACACAAAGCAGTGCAAAGTGCGATTGGAGAGACGCGCGCTTAAAAAGATTCGCTCCGAATCTAGTACATTTTTACCATTTGATTGGTACACACACTTTCCAACATCTGGCAACACTGTGCTGACGATACCAACACGTCAGACCGGCCACGTATATATGCACATATTATGCCTTATTTTATATATATTTTTTAAATATTATATTTTTGTTGTATTTTGTTTTGAACATAACTTCTTGTCACCGAGCAAAATGCCGTTGATCGCATCACATATGTCAAAATTTCCAGCTTTTTCTCGGGAGGCTCCGAGTCGCTTTCCAAAACAATTCTATTTACATGGACAAAGTGTCATTGCGTTTCCATCAGTTTCCATTAGGATAGGTTACATTTACGCTCTTTTTCCTTCCTAGTTTTTTTCATATCTTTTAAATTTAATTAATTGAATTACTGTGGGCACGTTCTTCGTTACAGTACAAATATGTATGTAATTGAGATCGAATGAATGATTGAAAATGATTTGTATAGTTTATTACTCCGAATTATGTTTTACTAAGTAGAGGGAAAAATTATGCAATTGTTAACCTATTCTCTTTAACTCGGCACGTGATTTAAAATATCTTGTTCTTCGATAATTTTTATCTCGAAATAGATTATTTGTAATAAAAAAAAATTAATCTATAATTATTCAACATAATAATTAAAGCATCCTCGTCTTCGTTTTATTTTATGTGAAATGTGTTTATTTGTTTTAATCAATTTACATATATGTATTAATTATGAATATTCTGTGTACATGAAAAAAATGTGTTTCAGAAAACTTACACGAGTGCTTGAAAGAGAAGGATTTTACATCATGTCGAAGATTATTTGTTTGTTTGACGTAGATGGCACACTCACTATACCACAGCGGGTATTACATTTTACCTACCTAAAAAGCCTATTTTTGATGATATTAAATTTCTTCTTAGATATTACTGTGCTATTATTATATTTATCCTGTGTTTTTATCTACCTATTGATTAAAAATATTTATTTTTATTTTCTATAGCCAATCAGCCCTAGCTTTGAAAAGTTTCTCCTAGAAACTGTAAAGAAAGAGTTTGACATTGCAGTAATCGGAGGTTCTGATTTAAACAAGATACAAAAACAGCTAGGTAATGAAAACCTCTTTGAAAAGTATAAGTATGTCTTTGCGGAAAATGGCCTTATCGCTTTCAAGAATGGCAAAGCTCTGCCTTCACAAGTAAGTAATAAAGCAGTATTTAAAGGTAACAACAGATTATGTACCTTCTCTTTTAACATATATCAAATTTTAGATGATTCAAGATATACTTGGGGAGGATTCTCTGCAGGATTTTATAAATTTCACCTTGCGATATATATCTGAGCTAAAGCTGCCATTTAAGCGTGGAACATTTATCGAATTTCGTACAGGCATGTTGAACATTTCGCCAGTAGGACGAAATTGCAGCAGGAAAGAACGCGAACAATTTAATGAATATGACAATGAACATCATATTCGGGAAAAATTTATACAAGTCCTAAAAAAAGAGTTTTCTGATTTGGGTCTAACTTATAGTATTGGTAAGTGACATGGAAATAATTCTGTTTACTATAACAATTAATTAAATCGATTATATAATGTAGTATATAAAATTTTAATATAATAAATTTATATTTATTAAATTATTTCAAAATATTAATTGTTTATATTTTATTATTAAAAATATTTTGTATATTTCTACTATATATCATATAAATTAATGTCAAAAATAATGTATTATTGTAAATATTATAGCAAGCAAATTTCTTTATATTTTTTCTAAGGGGGACAAATCTCTTTTGATGTTTATCCTATTGGTTGCGATAAAACGTATTGCTTGCGTCATATTCAAGGATATGATGAAATACACTTCTTTGGTGATAAAACAGCCGAAGGTGGTAACGATTATGAGATTTACGAGAGCGATCTGACAATAGGACACCGCGTCACTTGTCCCAAAGACACCATGAACCAATTGAATGTCCTTATGACTCTTATAAAAGAGAACAGGGAGAAAGAGCAGCTCGATGTTCCATTGCAATGCGTATAATAAGGCCTAATAATAGTATTTTTCTAGATTGACATAAATTTATATTTTTAATTAGTATATATATATATATGTTATTGTACAATAGATTGGTTTCGTTCCGTTCTTTATTTTTCATTTTCTATCAATTGTTACATTCCTAACGGTGGAAATGTAGCATTTGTAACTCTATAGTTTCCAAGGAAAATTTTTCAACACTAATTCTAAGCACAACTGTTTTCATACACACTTAAAAATATATTTGTACATATGCTCTTTTCTAATAGTTTTACTACACCTTGATATACACACAAGTCATAAATGTTAAATAAAAATGTTATTGATATTATGAATATAGTTTATTTTTTATTTGAAACAAATTCTACTCTCATTAGTCTTGTGCATACACGACCACGCACGATTACATCTACACATTCATATGTATATATATATTAAAACATATAAATTAAACGATAACAACGTTAATAAGAAAAATATTACGGTATTCATTGGAAGACAACAGTATGACGTAGAATGTTTTTTTCCGCTGCTGACAAAGTATAAAAGCATTTTATTAGCATATGCAAACGAGCAAGGTTAATGCTGCAACAGCTGTTGTTGCAATTTGCATAATCTTTTGGTATTAATTTCTTACCATTGTAGGTAACTTCCGTTTTACAATGCGCGTAAATGCATGTCTATAAAATAAGAATATATATATATATATA